CTCAAAAATATAAAACACTCGCATAGATACTTCAACATAGTATCTACTAATTTCTAATTTCTTAATATAAAAATTCTTTTCTGACTTAGTCGCTAATGCTAAAAGTTCACCCAAATAGAAAGCGTAGATCATATCGTAAATTCGATTTTTAAGTGTTCTGTTTGAAAGTTTCTTCCATACAGTTTTTATCTGTATTTGGAGGTCAGATAACACATCATATGGTGGAGGTAAACTTTTAAGATTCACAGGTGTTTTAGTGCGCAATTCGGTTAAAATAGTTTTCATTGTTTCCTTACTATAAAATGTTTAATAATAAATTTTAGTTGATTCGAATTTTAAGGTTGTCTTAATAATAAACAGTAACTTAAATGAAGCTTCGGATATTTCCTTACCTCGAAATATTCTGAATTTCAATTGTACTGGGATAAATATTATTTACATTCATTTTAATTTCGTCTTTAAAATTGGTTCTTACATTCATTATAAATATAAAATGGTGATTAGTTATTTGCAAAGTTGTTTAAAAAAATACACAAATGGAGCCTAACGCATATTTATAAATTCGCGAAATCACGCGTAGCATAGCCCATACTATCTAAATGTCTCATGGATTATATATCACAGGTATAGCTAAATTAACTAATATGAATCAACTTGTGGTACCATATTAAATATAATTTACGTGACATTTAATTGTGGGTTATACGTATAGCAAAGTTTGATCGCAGAGAAACGCCGATTAATAACCATTTAAAAATTTATTATATTTGTGTAAATTATTTATTCTTTGGCTTGTATTATTATTTGCGATGGCTTTACAATTTTTATTTTTTGCAATTGCTGCAACGGCTGCAACGGTTGCAATAGCTGCAATAGTTGCTTACTAGCTATATTTAGATGAGATCATCATAACATTGGTAATAGCAATTCCTTTAATAGAAATTTGAATACGTAGCAATTCCATTGTTTAACTAATCGTAATTTAATTTCATAGAGTTTACCCAAATGCATCATAGGTGTTTAACACCACTGTTCACTGTATCTTAAAAAATCAGGTTAAATAATGCTTTAAGTGAAATACTCGTGCCTACAAAACTTTCTTAATTTCACCTTTTGTAATTGAAAAAGTAAAGTTTGATACAAACTCAGATTAATAGTTTGTATTTTCCTGTCTACTACATTATTGAATATGTTTTAAATCAAAGAAAGGTGATTAATTCAGTAGAAATTTTGAGATTGTTAAAAAAATAGTATGATCCTGTGTCTATTAAATATTATCTTTATGGGTATAAATAAATATATTTTTTTAGAGGAATTTACAATAAGGGCCCAAAATTGAAAATAATTACTAGAGATGTAATCGACTGGAATGGCTCGGCTTGGTTCACTAAAGCCATAGCATAAATAGCCATGGTGCAGCCAAGTCATGCATATATCATGGCTTAGTTATGGCTTAAGCTATTGTGAAGCTGGCTTCAAAATCATGGCTAAAGTTTATCAGCTTGGCTCAGGCTATGGCTGAAAGCCAAAGCCGAAAGCCATACTTCTCTGATTTTAAAGGCTTGGCTTGATAGTGGCTCTGGTACCAAGCCGCGGCTGGAGCCGGTTTCAAGTGGAGTCGATAACATCTCTAATAATTACAGATAAGGGCCCAAAACAAAAATAATTATCGATAGAGACCCGATATTCGAAAATTATTACAAATAAGGGCCCAAATCTATGGTTAGCTGACTAAACCGATCTCAAAAACTTGCATCTGACATGATGTTGATTATAAAACAATTCTATAGTGCAGATAATAAATAGTTTAAAGAATCGAATAGACCATAAGTACATTTTTTATTGCGCATTCGAATTTATATTCAGATCACTAATTGATTATCATTCAAGTTATTAAGCCACAGGACTTAAACCACGGGTCTTTAAGCGCAGAATTATTTTGGGCCCTTATTTGTAATAATTTTCGAATATCGGGTCTCTATCGGCAATTATTTTCGTTTTGGGCCTTTGTAATTATTTTTGATTTTGGGCCCTTATTTGTAAATTCCCCATATATTTGCATAATTATATATTTTTACAGATATTATAAAATGCGCCTATGGTGTTTAACACAGCATAGCAGAAGTTTATTTTAATTTCATAGGTAGAAGTTCTAGTTTCTATATTAATTTGAGGGTGAGTCAATAGAAATCAAGCAAATTGTTTTTATTGAAATTTTTTTGAAACTTCAACTCAACAAAAGCTTTATCGAATTTAGAATTTTATAATTTGTAATAATTATTTTACAAACTTCTGCCTATGAACCTCGGGTAGTGCATCGGTTATACACGAATGAAAAAAAAAGTATTCAATTCTCGCTAAGAACACGTACAATAATTTTGCAATATATTAATTCAGGTTTCATATAATTACGTTAACTCAGATTTCGTGATATATTCATTATTTGTTTCGTGATAAATATTTATTTACTTTGCAATAAATACATTATTTAGTTCCGTTATATATTATTTAAATTATTAGATTCGCGACATGTACTTTAATACTTTCTAATAACGTTCTGTAAGTTGCTGTATAACCCTAGAATAAGATAATAAAAATATTTATTTGGCAAACCCAATCGTCGTAGGATACTGGATAATACCGTTATTGAATGTGAAGCTTTCGTATCTGGTAGTGAAACTTAATATGCCAGCCTCTGGCCCAGAGTAGGCATTAGGGACCTGCACGGGCCTAAAAATTTAAACTTTTGCCGGCCCGCTCGGCCCGCAAAATAAAATTTATTATGTTTTT